TCCACTGGCTAGTATGAGACCAATGTTCTAGGGTTACCTCAGGAGCCTCATGAACTTTTTGAGAACAACTTGCTTCAGATTTCCATATCCCCCTCTCCCACACACGCGAGGTATGGCTTTGAGCCCACAGCTCGTGGGGTGAGCCGAGTGCAGGCCATCCCGTGTCATTGTTAGCGCGATTTGGGGGTGTGCAGCATTTTCTGATGTTCGTGCGATATGCATGAATTTGATGGGGCTTCAGCGTTCTTGAAAAAGGAAGTTGTTACCATACCACCATGGTACACACAGAGGTCCACTTGTAATTCTCCCCAAACAAGCCCCAAGACGAGCACCGCGGCATTTGAGGAGTTTGCTGGCCTTTGTGGGGCACACATCTTTCATAGCCCAAAGTGGAGGCATGATTCACCCTGCATATTTGGGAGCCTTGCCAAACCCAACTGGTATGCGAAAGGCAGTGCCCAGCACGTTTGGACCTGCAATGTGTTGATTTCACCTTGACATCTCCACTGGCGTGTGGGGTAATAGCATTAAGCTCATCAGTAGTTAAAGCAGGGCCAACTGTTTGTTTCAGAGAGTGTAGTACAGGAGTGCCCATTTGGAGATACCCGGTAGGCCATGTTCAGTCCCATCGGTCCAGGTGAAATGTAATCTCACGTGAGGCCTCTGACTGAGACTGATATCCCCCAGTATCAGTTTCTATTAGAAACGATTCCATCGTACGTCCTTTGCAGCGCACGTTGCTCCGTAACCCCTTGCCTAGCCTGTCACCTGACTCTGGCCCAATCTTGTCGAAATGAGGTAGCTGAATATACCCTCAGAAAGAACAGGTCCTTGTTACAGATGCCCCTCAACAAGAAGCACGTGTTATTGGGAAGCTGGCAAATGTTTGAAAGCGTTGCGTCTCGTTTGACAAGGCCACCCTGAGTGCCCCAGCGCTGACGGAGGACTTCCTACTTGAACGATGTGCCGCTCTTGCTGTTGTTGCGAAGTGTTCGGCCTACTACCAGAGTCGCAATTCTGTGCCGCTGTGGCTCTTCAATGACATTCATATCATTAAGGTGCTGCTGAATCTTTAAGCTGTTGCCACGAAAACACTGGCACCAGAAGAACGTTCCCTTTGTGAAACTTCAAGGCTGCCAGCATGTACAAGCTGCCAGCCAGCTGAAGTTGCCAGACCGAAACGAGTTTCCAACCTGCAAGGAAAGGGTTGTCACCATAATCATTTCATGTGAAACTCAACCCTGGCATTCCACTATTGCACACCACACCTTGAACCTTGCACAAAGTTCAGCGCCTTGCCTCCTGAAACCCTGAACCTTGTGAGGACCCGGATATCAAGCAGATGAACGAGCTAGTTGCCTAGCAAAAATATGGGGACTTTCAATCTAGGTATTGCGTGATATTCCGTGGGGACGCTACAGACATGTAGTATGGGAATAGTCAGGAAATTTCAGGGGTCCCTGTGAGGTATTATTATCAGAAGCTCCCATGTGGGCTCTTCAGCAGATTGACCAGATCTGCACTCTTGCAACCTACTTACGTGGGGTTAGTATGGAATAGGGCATGTATAAGATAGGAATGATATGGTAGATTCCCTAAATACAGGGACTCCAATATAGACCCCAATATACTATAACCTTTATTATAGGGACCCCCAAAACGGTATCCCTAATTCTGGGAAACCCTAAAACCCATATAATCCCCTACATAATCCCAATTTCCATTCCATTTTCCATTTTCTTTTCCATTTGATTCTCCATTATAGTAGGTACCCCTTACCAACTGCCAGCAAGTAAGCCTAGGCCTAGGCCATCCGTGTTGCACTTGGGGGAAAAAGGATAGCAGACTCTAGAGAATTCATTGTGGATCCCTAAAAAAACCCTAAACCCTAAACCTATAAACTAAAGACTTCTCGGCAAAAGAGCAAAGAGCGCTGGGCCTCTTCTTCAATCATAGCATGAGGTACCTTAAACGGAGCTCAACATCAACATGATATTGGTAGTGACTTAGGCACCCGTATCAGAATATTACTGTCAATGGCGCCTCACATGGTGTTCCAATTTTATGACGAGGCTATCAGACGCTTTGCATGTTAGCACCGGGACGTGGGGCGAGGCGGGGAGGGTGGGGGGGGCGGGGCGGACCGAAAATTGTCACTGCGACTTGCAGCCTCACAATGCACACGGGCGGTTGGTGCATTGCTGCCGGAGATAATGCGAAATTTCTTGGATATTTAAGAATTTTATTATTCTCCGTACCATTAAAAACCTTTGCATGACTCGATTTCGGTGGTCACGTGCCAAGGTCGTCTACCTGACCGGGGATTGGCCAAAGACGAAGGCTGCGGAGGGAGCCACTGTCTGATGCTGGCAATCACCTCCCCGAATCTTAAGCAAATCTTGAGTCCTTATGTCCTAATGTGGTCCTTACGCGGAGTAGTGGGATGGGTAATGTCTTGGGATGTCAGGGGAAGGACGTGCTTAAGATTGGGGAGGTCTTACAAGGGCTCCGTAGCTCCACTGCTGCACAGATTATCGTGCATCCTCCTCCTTGTCAGGCCTTCAATTACAACAAAGACCTTTTTTGACCGAGGAGTATAAAAGTGCTGCTTACGAAAGGCTCTTCGCAAATTTCTAACAAGATGTGATTCAGCATGAGCGCGTGGACCATCCCGAAGTCTGTGCAGCGTGGAGCTTCCAGCATTGCCTGTTGGTTTCTCCGTGGTGCTGCGGATAGCAGGAGCTGAAAAAGATGGGTTTTGTAAAGCAGCTGAGGGATGTGGATCAGACATCAAGACAATTAGTCCGTTTGGGCCCTTTTTACAAATCTCCATGTATTATATCAGTGCTGTGGCAAACATTATCGCTTTGGCTGTTTGGGCCTTCTATGCCCTCGTTCCTGTCGTTCGATGGCGAGGCTTAGTGCTGGCTGGTGGCTGTGGTTAGCCAGATACCCTGAGTTGAAAGCTTACGCTTTTGGAGTATCGGCTAAGACTGGAACAGCGCGGATGTGCAGCATCCAAGGCTGTGCGTGCAAGCTGCGGCCACAGGTCAGGCTGGCACCTTGCAGCTTTCGACCAGCAGCCTGTAGTGTCGTTTATTCAGAAGCAGCAGGGATTTCTTGTCCCTTTGCGAACGCCTCCTGCCAGGTTCTGGAGCAAGTCCTGGAGCAACTGCGAGCCTGGACCTGTGGTAATCTCGGGGGAGGTGTTGAGCCTTCTGTTCATAGATGACAGCTGCTGAGTGTCATTGCCGGGCAGAAGGTTGTAGCTGTACATGATATGTTTGTAGGCTTTCTGTGAGCTGCAGTCAGGTCAGCATTAGGTAGGCATATTATGCAGCGGACCTCTCTCTGCCACCTTCTTCGTTACCGCAAGAATTGCTGATGACCATTGCAATCTCAGCAGTATGAGTCAAAAGATCACCGCATTCTTTGTGAAATCAACGCTGTTCTTTTCATTCTCTGTACTGAAGTCCTGACTCTTGTCTCCTGCTCTCCTTATTCTCATTATGATCATACTAGTTAGTAAGAGTAGTATGACAATCAAGATTCTTTTTGCAATCGCTTGTATTCCTGTACGGGCAGAGCCGCTCGGCTCAAACGATCGGCTGGACCAAGTCATCCCTTCATGGTCCCCTAAAAAGAAACATTTCGGTGCAGAGCTCAGCTGATCCACCAGGATTTAGGGGTTTCCCAAAATTAGGGGTTATATTAGGGTTATATTGGGGTCATATTGGGATAATGGAAAAGAAAATGGAAACTACTATTCAGGGTTTTACCTTTCTGTACCTTTCTGGAGATCCCAAGAATAGGACTATAGATGACTATAGTATTCGAGGGTCTGCATTGGGGTCCCCCTATTTACGGAAACTACCATCTAGGGTGTGGGGAGATCTGCAGGAAGTACGCGTTCGTGAGGCTGCATTTGGCTGTCCTTTTTTTCTCTGCAGAATCGCAGAAATCTACTATGGCAACTCCTGTAAAGGCAGCTAACCTGATTGCATGAGTTGCTTCACTGGATTACCGTAAGACATGGACATTCAATTGGAAATTCCTTGCATACCGAACCCTAGCCCTAGCCTTAGACCACATGTATCTGTGCATATCGCTCTGCATGGACATGTAAAGATGTGTCTAAGAGGCACCTCACGCGTGTGGAGTCCGCCTGATCAGATTGCATGAAGCCACCTCAAGCGATACCAAGTCCGCCATGAACATGTTTTACTTTGAATACGGTTGAGTGACGCAGTATAGTCTAGTGTTATAAGTTCACCAAGCAACTGCATTATACCTAGCTGTATAAGGGTTATAAGTGGATGAAATTACTTCTCATTCCGCCCATCTCACGAATCTCCGGAGCATCCTGTGCTTCTGAGGTCTGATTGAAGTATTGAAGCAGTTACAATGAAGTTGGCCCGCAGGCGCCGCTATGGACAATTCCTGTGCTTGTTTTGCACTGCTGGGATGGTTTAAGGGACCTCTTTGAGTCTGGTTCTGCTACCCAGTGGTCCCACACGAGAAGCAAGTTTTCTGATGGCCTGCCGGTCCGGAAGTGAGTTGTTCGCAATGTGGAAGCAACCTCAAGCTATGGTGCCTAGGAATCTGTAGGAATCTGTTGGTTTCGTGAAAGCATTCTCAAAAACCGCACTGTCCTATGATCTGACCGATCCTCTTCCGAACTTGAGTGCAAGAAACTTGAGGCTTTGCATCATCCCTCCACCCTCCTAGAGGCTACGGCTAGACTCTGAACCCCACTATACACCAATATTTCCATGAAACCTGTGTACTGTGTGAGCCAAAATCTAAAGCTCCTCAAAGGGGCTTATATAAGGGGGTTGTATAAGGGATTATTATAAGGGTTATAAAGGGGTATGCTAGGAGTTTAGACTATAGCTCAGATGGGGAGTACATAGGAATTATACCCCCAATATACACCCTGTTATCATGTAGCAGTTGGCATCTTCTTTCCATTATCCTTCTAAAGCAACAATATGTTGCAGGTGCGCCTTGGTGGCCTTACTTTTCGTCCAGGGAGCTGTTGCCTTCCGCAGGAAAAAGGCAGGGTATAACTTATAGTCATAGGATATAGGGGTTACCTATAGGGATAATGGAAAAGAAAATGGAAACTACTATTTAGGGTTTAGGGTTTAGGGCGTCGTTGCAGTTTTTTTTTTTCTCGAAAGTTGCCGGGCCTGTTGTTGGGGTGTCCTGTATTAGGGCTTTAACTTATTGAGGCATGCACGGTTCGACGCTTAGGGTCTATCTCCGGGTTTTGGGATTGAGATGCCCCAGGTTAAGAACTTAGGGTTCAGGGTATAGGACTTAATTAGGGTTTAGAGTTGGAGAAGGAAGCCGGAGAGAAGGAAGCCGGAGGTGTCAGAAAATGAAATAGTAACAAACGACCTGCTGCATATCTCATGCGTTCGAGACCCCTTTCCTGGCACTTCCGCAGTTTCATCATCGGGTGTGCCTTTTTACCCTCAATAAAGGTACCGTTGGCGCGTGTCATTGCGGTAGTAGAACAGCAAGAGTCATGGATCATAGTTCCAATGCCTTTATTGCGATTGCCGGAAGAAGGTTTTGAATCCGAAAAAACCTAAACCCCAAACCCTTAACCTTACACCCCCATGTTTTTAGAAGCCGCAAGCCTAAGACCTAGTTTCCTAAACCGTGCATATGTCTGAAATCTTAAGCCCAACATGGTTAAGCATCAGTACCCTGAAGTCCAAATCCTGTTCAAACTGTTAAGGCCCTTCCAGTAGCCCTGTGGAGGTTGAGAAGACGAGCCTCCGTCGCCAGGAGCCAAAGGCCACCCGGGCCACCTAGGAACAGTTTTGTGTTCTTAGGGGGGATTCCCAGGCACCTTGAGGGTATAGGGATGTTCTGGGTACAAAGGGTCCCAAGGTTCATACTACCAATAGTGATAATATAAATGAAAATGGAAAAGAAAATGGACACTACTTTTCTATGGGGCCAAGAACCTAATTCGGGGCCATCCCATACCTTGGAGCTTAGAGGAGAGACGATATGTGGGCTGTATGATGTAAGGCTTTTATCGCTGCACTTTGGGGCGAGTGAGATTCGGCGAGTGCCCCTTGGGTCCTGGTGATGGGACAAATCATGTCGATCCTACCGCATGCCTTGTATTCCATGCTTTGGGGAGAGAGTTGGGGCTGGGCTCTGCAGTACGCATGCAGGAGGTAGAGGCGTAACACTTTTTCCGGGAAGCCTGACATGAATCCTTCTGACTTGCCCTAGGCTTGGTTCCTCATACAAATGAACCCCCAAACCCTGAGCCCCATGACCCAACCCGGGCTGAGCCCTGAAGCCCCGAAAAGGCCTTGCTCGAAGAGCTGGAACAGGTCCTGGGTGCCGAGCACCGTGAGGCGTGTCTTTCCTCGAGAAGCGACCACATGAGCTATAGTCTAAACTCCTAAAAGGGGGTTATATGGGGGATTATATAGGGGACTATTATAGGGGTTATTAAGGGGGATACTAGGAGTTTAGACAGTAGCTCACATGAATTCTTGAGCTTCGGGTTCAGGGTCCTTGTGACCACGATTCTGTGATTGCTAGATGTCGTTAGTATTGTTGGGTCAAGGCACCGTTATCGCAAGCTTTACTCAGGCAGATCCCACAAAGACCGCCAGATAGGACAGACCCTTTAAGTAATTTCTAGGTTCCCTTCTAAGTACCTTCTAAGTGTCCTTCTCAGCAGGTCTGTCCCATTTGGGGTCCCCTGCAAATCTACATTTTTTTTTACGACTGGTCCTGACCACTCTGTCTTGACCTTGTTTCATGCATGCTTCCACTGCTCCATCCTCTCTTGAGCTTTCCAGTGCCCAGTTAACATCAAAGCACAGAAGGCCGGAAAAAGGGAACCCCTTTCTTGGAAACCCTAAGACCTGATCCCACTTGTTGTCTCATTCTATCTCTCTCTCGCTCCCTCTCCCTCTCCCTCCCTCTCTGGTCACGTCGTGGATTTTTTTTGCAAATGGAATCCGCGTGTATCCCTGTGTACGTATATATATATATATATGTATGTACTATCCCTGGAACTTGTTTAAACCCTCTTTTGCGGCACCCCTGCGGAACTGGTTCCAGGCAGCTGAACAGCGCCTCTCCGAGTTTGAAGATGACCTTCGCATCACTTTCAAGGCCCAGAGGGTAGTTTGTTTGGGGTTTGGCGAAAGAAGGCTTAAGCAATGCAAAGACATGATATTTGTACTTCTAGCTTCACTTATAGAGGGTGTAGCATTGAGCGTTGGGTTCAGGATTCGTTGTTTAGCATTTGTCAGTCGGGGTTGAGGGTTGGAGTCCTCTTGGACTGCAGAATTAGGCTTAGCACTTAGGTTCTAAGAGCATATAGGGCTTCGGCAGTAGGAATTCGGATGTAATATTTCAGGTTTAGCGCGTTGGAGGGAGGGTTCACGGTTCAGAACTTCATGGGGCTCATGACTAGGATTTACGGATGAGGAGAGCTTGGCACGTAAGGTTGAGGGCGCCGGATTTGGGTTTCAGGGTTTTCAGGTTTGGGTCAGGTAGGGGGCCTAGCTCATTTGACATGACAACGCCCTATGACCTGTATAAAGTTTTAGTGATGCAAGTCTTTGGTTTTCATTTGTTTAGATGGCCCCCGTCAATACCAAAAATATTACCACATACCGTAATCCTCATTATTGAACCCGAAAGAACCTCCTGTTTTTTGCAAGCCGCCAAATAGTAAGTAGTGTTGACGGAGGAAATCCCGCGTGGCACTGGCAAGACACTTAGGGTACCCAACGCGGGACGCGTTTTTGACAACTCTCCATGTAATTCGATGATTTGGTCATGGACAGCCTTGTAAGAAAGGCAGGACATGACTATCACATTTTTGCTACTAGTGTCTACAAAAAAGCACACCGAAATCAATTCCCAAGCCTCAACACCTACATCCTGAACCCTAAAGTAAGCCTCCCAAACCCTTCTTCTCAAACCCTGAATCCTAAGCCATTAATAATGGACCATATCCCAGGCCCTAAACTTGATGTGAGCTATAGTCTGAACTCGTAGTATCCGCCTTAGTAACTCTTATAATAGTCCCCTACATATTCCCTCATACACACCCCTTCATTGAGTTTAGACCCTAAACCCTAATCCCTAAACCCTAAACCTAATCCCTCAACCCTAGTCCCCAAACCCCAATCTCTAAACCCTAACCTATCCCCTAAACCCTAATTCCTAAACCGTAAACCTTAATCCCTATTGAGTTTAGACTATAGTTCATATAGATGCCTAGCCATCATCATACCAGCTGAGGCGCTGCCGAAGAACGGCCGAGGCGCCGTGGCCGCTCCTTCCGCACGCTACGCGCTGCATAGGCCGAGAGGGATCATAAAGAGGGAGAGGGTTTAGGCACGCGCATCTTGAGCTGAGTCCAACATCCGACAGTTTCAACCCTAAACCCTAGACCCTAATGTAGGCCTAAGGAGACTATAGTTTCGGGGGTTTGGGATTTTGGGGTTCAGGCAGGCTCAGGGTTTTGGCTTTGGGGTTTGAGATTCAGCTGAAGATATCTGTTTAGGCTGTTTCTTTAGGGTTTAGGATTTATTCTGTCATTCAGGCATTGGGGCCTGGGATTTGGGCTGCAGGGTTTGGAGCTTCGGTGTGAGAAGAGAATTCGAGTTCTCCCAAAACTGAAATTGTAGCCAAGTGATTCCGAAAACTCCCCAATTCGTTTTAAGCATCTGAAACGTAGCGGGGTTACGTATATGGGCTTTGGGTTGTATGGCGTTGTATATGCTGGGTGCATCACAAGTTTGGGACGCCCTGGAAATACCCAAGTGGTATAGTCGTGAGTCAAGGGATTTGATTTTGAGAGGGCAGCAGGCTTGCCAAGCAGGACCCCGAATTTCGGGAAACCTTGCATCCTTTAAACCTTTGCACAATCCCAGTTTCCATCTTATTTTCCATGTTCTTTTCCATTTGCTTCTCCATTCTTCGGGGTACTGTAACATGCCCGTATATAACCTTTTTAGTCCCCATAAAGCCTTATAAGACCCTGTATATTCCCTAGAAGCGAGTTGCCAGGCTAAAGGATTCGGTGTCTAGTCTGGGGCGTGAAATTTGCTTGTTTCCATTTGTGCTTCCTAATAGTTCTTTTAGAAACCCTGCTAATGGTCCATAGTGCTCCCTATAGCCTAGTCATTCATCCCCGATTTAGCACCAGGCCATTGTTAGGTTTCAGGGGCTTGAGTTCAAAGAGGTCGGGTTCAAGGTTTACTTCAAGGATCCCGGGTGAGAGTTGTTATTGCGTTTAATGGAGTTGTGATGGAGATGTTGGAGATTACCGAACTCCAGCACCCCTCCAACTACGGTGTGGAGTTGGTTTCAATGCAAAACACCAGAACGAAGGTGCAACGAGTGTTTTTTCAATCGCCTTGCCCAAGTCTTATGCAGACCTTTGTTGGTATGTGCCGTATAGCGGAGGCTTGCTTTCTTCGCTTCAGTGCGAATTAGAGATCCACAGCTGTCCCTGGGGCAAGCAAATTCCATGTGCTCAAAAAACTTTGGGCGCCCTTCATGTATTTCAAATGCTGTAGTCTCAATTACAGGGGCTCCCAAGGAAAGGACACCAATTCTGGGCAACCCTTCCATGAACTGGTGACCTCGGTTTGGCACGGGCTGCTTAACCAACCCTAAACCCTGAACCCCCAAACCCTGTAAGCCCTTAACCCCTAAACCCTATGAAACTTTAACCCATAAACCCTATTGACCCTAAACCTCTAAACCCTTAAAACCCTACAAGCCCTCAACACCTAAACCCTTTAAACCCCTAAGCCCGTAACCCTATAAACCCTAAACCCCTAGACCCTTTAAAACTGAAACAACAAAATCCTATAAGCACTAAACCTCTAAACCCTGTAAGCCCGAAACCCCTAAGCCCCCAAACAGTAGAAACCCTAAACCTCAACCCTAAACCCTGTAAACCCTAAACCTAAAACCCTTTAACCCGAAACCCCAAACCCCCAAAACCCAACCCCCAAACCCCTAAACCTCAACCCTAAACCCTAAACCCCTAATTCCCTAAACTCTACAAGCCCTAAGCCCCTAACCTCAAACCCCTAAACCCCAAGACCCAAACCCTAAAGCCAAGACCCTAGATATCAGTTTGGGCACAGGCTGTTTAACCAACGGCATGGATGGCAGATCAAAGGCTTGGAGACTGCTGCAGGCCTGGAGTTTATAGGGGTTACATGGGGGTAATGGAAGAGAACATGGAACAACTATTTTCTGTATTTTTACTGGTGCCTAAGCGGGAGTGGGCGATTTTTGGGTGGGGTGGTTTGGGGATTGGGGTTTAGGGTTTGGGGGTTTAGGGTTTGGGGTGTATGGGTGGGACTAGATAGTGGTCAGTATGAGGATCCACCCCCCACACCCCCTTGTGTAAGCACAACTTAGGTTCTTTATCGTTACTTGGAGGGTGCCTAACTCTCGCATGGTTGCTGCTCTCTTGCTCCGGTCCTTGCACTCGTTTACTGGCACATCGGTGCATGGGAATTTTGAGGGGTTTGGGTAGTGTTTGGGGTTCAGGGTTTAGAGTTCCAGAGGGGTGGGCTCGACTGATTTCGTGTTTTGTTCCATGAACCTCATGGAATGCTTCAGAAGCCTTGGGGTGATCATGTTTCTGCATTCCCGAAGGTTCAACTGCTCAGCAGGGCATGATTGAGTGCCTCCTTCGTTGCAGGGGGTCTGGCCGGTAGGGCTCGTGAAAGAAGGGCTGCAAGGGCTCCTTGCAACGCGACAGTCTTAAGCTACTAGATATATAGCCGCTCTTTTAGAGAGAGCCCTTTTGGTGTTCCAGGTTCTCGCAAGGTTGGCGACCCATTTGCAATTTCTGTGCCCTGTAGGCTTGTATACAGGCCTACATATCCCCAAACAAACAGCCCTGGTAACCCCTCACTTCTGAAATTGGTGACAGGAAGCTCAATCACAGCACAAACTTTGAGTACACCAGACATACAGTAAGATCATTGACAACCCCCCGATGAATCATGAGTCTTGTAAATGCTTACTCTCACACACACACACGGACACCGTACAACAGTTTTTTGCAACCCTTCTAAAGTATCTATGCAATGTCTTGTCGAAAATTGCTTCGCGAGGTGCCTGGGACACGGACTCGCCAGTGACAGCCATGGGCGATCGCGTGCCGCCCAAGATGTGCCACGACTGCAGGTCTTCGGTTCTACTCAAGGAGCCTTTAGCTTCTTTTTTGGAAAAGAGAGCTTCGAAGGTATGCTCGTTGATTTATTCAAAGAAGCTCTGCAGGCTACTATTCCTTGACTTCTTATCTAGGAATCTAGGAGGCGTTGGGCTGAGTATTTGCAGCTGGTCTTCAAGGTCGAGGGCCAAGTAAGTCAGATGTGAGCCATAGTCTATGGGAATATATAAGGGAGTATTTTAGGGTTTATGGGGTACCAGGAGTTTAGACTATAGCTCATGCTTGCTAGTGGTCCAGTGTTTCCAGCAGAAGGCATGTTTCAACTCAGGCGCGAGCTCTTCGAGGACATCTTCGCCAGCCTGTACACTGCTGAATGAAAATCAGGGGAAGCTGGGCCCTTGCGGAGCAGAGTAGTCTAAGAGGGGCCCCGCCTTAGGTTCCGTGATGTGCACGTAAGGAAAGAAGGTACTGAATGGAGGGCGACGGTTGCAACGAAAGGAGTACACGCCACATATCCCCAGGGTTGAACGTTTAGGGTTTAAGGCAACATCTTGGCAGGACCGCCTAGGGTCCTATGGACTGACTCTCCACGAGTTGGCCATCCTGGCTGCCACGTCCCTCGCCGCAAAAAGAGGGACCAAGGTTTTGTTTAAGGTGTAAGATTTAGGGATAGGAGCTTAGGGACGAGGGTTTAGGCTAGGTCAATCCCCCTATAGAAATGGCTCCTGCATGTGGAGGTATTAGGGTCTTAATATACCTACAATAGTCCCTTGTGGTACCCATTACTAGGTGCGGGATTGACCCAAGGTTTAGGGATAAGGGTTAGGGCTCAAGGCTCGCACTTAATTAGCTTGAAGTGTACAGAGGCATGGTTAGGGAGTGATGAGTAGTCGGAATCCAAAAGCTTTGCAGGGATTCTGCGGGTGGTCAATGAAGGTTCCTGGAAATTACCGGATATCTGGAGTAGAGGAGATTTGGCGCATGCTAAAAATTATGGTTGATCAAACTTGTGTTTTTGTCTAGCTGTTCTGATGCTGAAAGCTGGGAACCATGTCATTTGAGCTGCAGCAAAGTACCCTGATTTTTGCGTCTGCCCAGCTGGGAGGTATGTGATTTGACATAGGCATTGCGCAGGGTGTTTACATTTGAGCATCTTAACTTAATGCATACGTTGCTCGGGTCTACTCTGGCAATTGCATGGGCCGACCGTGTCGGGAATCTTGCGGGGAACGCGGTTCCTCTACAGGCATTCGCAAAAAACTCAGAGTCAGTTTTAACCTGCTTTTAAATTGTTGTCAATGGCCGAGGTAGGTTTCAGACATTGCACAGATTGCACAGGTGTTAATAAGATACTAGATATCTTTCGCTTGCCAAGCTTGTGTAATTAGCATGACTTGATGAAATGCGGTGGAGGGGAGGACAAAGCCGGCGTCACAACAAGCTCCCTGTTGAATCCTGCGAGTTTCGTCTGACCCCTGCCAGTTTGTCGGATGCAAGTCAACCCTCATGATGGGTAGTTAGGACGATTGGCCCGAAGCGGGGCAAGTGTGATGTACCTACCTTGAAGTCTACCAGGGTTTTCAGGTTCTTTGCAGAGCATGTTTGGGTTGAGGGGGCATTGGTCTCCCTGGTTTCCCATCAGAACAGGATGGACAAGATGTTCGAGACTGATGTGGCGGAGCGCCTCCGAATCGTCTACAAGGCGTCGGCGCTGAAAGTCCAGGCCCCCGTGTAGACAAGTCTTGCGTGTTGATGCAGGGGTCTACACCAAAGGTTTTCAGCACCATTCTGGGTGTGGGGAATTCATGTAGGCTCATTATAGAAATGGTAATGGCATTACAAGGCATGTCAGCGTGGTCTCTTACTCTCGCCTCTCGAAGCTACTGTGCCAACTGGCAGCCCTAGGCTTCCTGAGGTCCTGCGAGCATTTTGTACCCATTATCCTGGATTAGAGCCGCATTGCTAAGGTGTGAAGAGGGTGTCGAAATGTAGCACTCCGCTTTTGAGTTTCTGTCGGTATTGTCGGCAGTCTATCCTCACCCCAGCATCATCATCTTCTTTGCTCAGCTGAAGAGTGGTGCATGTTGCATGCTGGACAAGATCTGTTGTAGTTCCTTGCTGTCTGATGCGTCAGGACAAGATCAACTACAATCAGGCAGGACGGCACGCCCATCAACGGGTACATGTGATACGGGAGCATGCGTAATAGTTCCGCGCATAGGTCGTCGGCCGTTGTTTGTCAGCAAGCTCTTCCATCCCACCCCGATCATGATCATTTACTGTTGCGTGTGCGGCCCTGGCCAGGCGAAGAATGTTTTGTGGACTTATGCCGCTTGGCATCAACAAGGGTGAGAGCAAAGTCGTGACCATAATCTTCCACTGGTCTCCTGATCCGCGTAGATGGCAGTTGGAGGTGTGCAAGGTTTTGCAACAATCTCCTTGTCGAAGAAGCCTTTGCACATGTTGTAGAGAGGAGGGTCGTTATCCTGGGTTGGGTGACCCATGAAACAAACCAGCGCACCATGCCTCAATTTGCAGGTGGCAGCCTTCATCACTGGACCGCAGGTGGAGAGCCTCACAGAAGGCACCGGGAGGGATGCACAATCCAGCAGCCCCCTTTCAAAGGACACTACCCTAGAAGGAGTTACAGGCTCCACGCTTGTGCCTAGACAAACGACAACCTTCTGTTTTGCAGGATGATGGTCCTTGTAAAAAGGCATTCCGGCTCAACAGTACCAAGCGGGAGGTTTCCTTGAATCCTCAAGAGAAACCCCCGCGCAATCTTCTGATGATCCTTGTATTTCCGTAGGGGTATTCCCACTTTGACAATTAACTGCCAACATGGAGTTGCTACCTGCAGGAGAGGTGCACAAGGCCGTCGAGCACTTTGAAGTCAGGCCGGAGTACGGAGATGTTTGGAGACCTGCTTGTTGCGTGTTGGGCGCTGGCTCACTAGGGCTATGTGAACACATTTGGACTCGCGCATCGCAGTGGAATCAATCTTCGGGGTCTTTCGGGGGTTCCCGATGCCAGCTTTGCGTGTTTGTTGGGAAGCCCATGCTAGCCGAGCCACTGCAAGACAGATCCACGCTTTCTTTGTCCTAGCTGTTTGTTGTGAATGTGTGTGTGTCCTTCCAGCTGAAGGTTTCCACGCTACGCAGAGGCTAGAGATTTGCTGGTTGGAATCGCCGATGAGGCAGGGCTTTGTGACTTTGTGTGTGTGTGTGACCTGCTCACGTGGTCGCACCAGACTTATTGGCCCCAATCATCTTCTGGCGTATGAGTGTATACGATGCGCTCAGCAGAAGATCTGATACCATTACGTGTCTGCCGTAGTCTGAGCATGTGTGGTCTTGCGAAAAGGTGGCTGGACATGGAGCAAGTTCTTACGTGCCTGGGCCGGCAAGAAATCAATCACAGCATATCATCATATTAGACATCACCAACAAGCATCCGTACTCAAGCAGTGATCCTTGGGGATACGCCCTACGATGACAATGCTGTTGCGGTTAGGATTCTCGCAGGAGAGACTGTGCACAAGGGTTGTGAGGCTTATCAAAAATCATGGAGTTCTAGCAGTGGTGATCCGATTCTTAGATGGCACTTTCGGGGACCCCGCTATTAAGAAAGTCCCAGTCGCACGCTTCGCTCCCTGACCGCTCGAGGACTTCGAGACGCTACAGACCATCCTGTCCAAGTTTGGCCAAAGGCTTGGGGCTCTGGAGGACACCGAATGCAAGGCCCGCTGCCTTGGTGCTACTTCAGGGCCAAGTAGGCAAGAAGTAGGAGAAGCAGCTGCAGCGGCCGTGGCAGCAGTGTAGGTACTTTAGCCGCAGTACCAGCGAAAGTGGGTGACTCCGCCGTCAGTTTGTCTGACCCAGAGGTCATGAAGAACAGATTGACATCGTTGGAAGCTCGTGATGGCAGCGGTCTCGTTCGCAACCCGGTAGCAGTTGGCCAAGTCCTTCGCTGGACATGAATGATGTCTTTGGAAGGTGATGCGCAAAATCTGGAGGTCATTTTCTGCCATCCTAAATGGTAGTTTCCCAAAATAAGGGGACCCCATTATAGACCCCCAAATACTATAGTCCTTATTATTGGGACCCCTAAAAATGGTACCCTTAATTTTGGGAAACCCCCAAATATTCACTATGACATTTGGAGTTCGGAAGGGGGCCCCGTCTTGCAGAGCAGGCGATGGAACAAAGGTTGGTCACCCTGCAAAGCAGCTGTCGTGTATGTTGAGAGAATTTTGCACCATTTGGCACGAACTTGCTCGCCATGGAGCGGCTAGTGCAGACAGTTTAAAAAATCCAGAAGATCATTATTGATCGCCTTATAGTTTCTTTGGAAGACGTGACGTTTCAGCTGTAAACAACAAACTCAATAGATGCTTGCTTTCCTTTGGGCAGGCACAACATGTCTGTGCAGTGGTCAATTTGGGGATGATATAGCTAAATCGGCAGCACAACAAGTCAGGGAGCAAAGGCTGCGAGCCAGAATGAACTAGACCTAGGCAGGCTGAATGATGAAGGGATCCCCTTCCAATACCTTCCAAATCCATCTTCTACGTCAGAGAAAGTCCATGAGGGCTTAGGAAGATCAATTCGTGCTTTGACTCTTTCTCTGGGTAGGCCCCTGGGATATGTAAAATTTTCCCTAATGGCTTTAATAAGGGACCATATTCATATTTTTCGAAGGGCTGTAGGGGCCAACCCAGTTCTTCAGGCTTGGGAGACTTCTACGGCAACGACAAGGCGCAGCTTTAAATCATACGGTATATATATATATACACAGGGGATTATGTTGGGGTTATATTGGGATAATGGAAAAGAAAATGGAAACTACTATGACGGGACATATTAGGGTTATATTGGGATGCTGTTTTGGCTGCATTGAAGGGTCCTCAGGCCAATTGCAAGATCACCCAAACACATCAAAAACCCGGGACGCAACAGGATCTTGTAGTGACAAGGTCAGACTTTGGGCTTGTCAACATCGTGGCTCCAAAGTTGCGGGTCTCTTCTTGGATACTCTAGATGCTATGCTGGGAATTGAAAAAGGGACCATAATCTTTACAACAAGAAGCCAGGCAGCCAAGTGGTATGTGAGGCGAGGTCCGCCCTGAAGACCTGCTATGCTGTATGTGCAGCAGCTACCCAGATCGCCTACTATTTGCCAACTCCCCCAAGCCTCTAAGTGTCATATGGTTAAAGAGCCCTGATTAAAGGGACGCCTTGGTGGGTAGTGCGGCGGTTGTAGGGGAGCGATGAAAGTAGTGGCAGGTTGGCAAGTCGATCAAAGTTGAAGGAACTAAAAGCAGAGATCGTGTTTGCTTGTCCTGTTTCTACCGTGTCTGCGTTGCCCATCATTACAAAAATCTTGTGAGGCATGCCATGTCAATTATCTGGGTTGGCATGAGAAAATGCTGGGCACATGCTTCATTATGGTAGCTTGGTATGGTCCCTGGCTTTTGCTAGCATCGCCCCATGTCTTCAAGCAGTCCTGCAAGAACGTTCACTGCTTTTGTGGATGCCAAGACGCGAGTGCGGTGTACAACCCAACACGAGAACTCCCATCCCCCAAAAAGAACAGTAGGGAGGGGGAGCCTAGCAAGAATTCCATACCAACCATAAACTGGAGTTTCTCAAATGGTCTCTTTTATCATCATCAAGGGGACTCTAGAACCCTACATGTTGCTACGGCTCCTGCGGTTCCGAAAGGGACCCTCCCCTTTTGACACCCCAAATCTCGGCAGTTTGACTTCCACTTCACGGAGAGCCCTGCGTACCTTCGGAGCGCCGGCCTGCTTGACGAGTCGAACCCGGAGGATCCGAAGGCACCATGTTATGTAAGTATAGGGATGATATAGGGATCATGCAAAATAGAATGGAAACTATTACAATATAGGTGTCATATAAACTTTTCTGCATCACTTTGGCACAGTGTTGGTCCTACACTATTTACTTGCAGGCTGGATGGCTGAATGTGAGGGATAGTCTGCGCTGCATGTGCACCAAGGGACGACCCTGAGAAGCAAACATCATTTAACTCATTAAGCTAGGGATTTACGGAATATTCCTTGAGTAAGGGTCTCCGGAAGGTGATCATCCCCAACTACCTTGCTGGACCTTCCAACTGCGTCCAGCCTTCAGGCGGCTCAAGTGCAGAGGAGACTACATGAGGTTTGGGTTTTAGCGGTGTGGAGGTTGCGTGTTTTGGGGTCTAGCGGTTTAGGGTTCAGGGTTTAGCAGTTAGGGTCAGGTTTATTGTCCTCTGGCTACTGTAGGTTGGAAGCAGCCGAGTTGTACGGAATACCTCTTCTCCATGTAGACTGTACACTTTTTTCGATCCCTTCTTCGGATGTCAATGCTGACGTCGTAGCGGAGCCCGAATAAGTATTCGCACTGTTCCTGCATCTTTTTCGTCGACTTTTAAGTCATTGTCTCCTTTGGAAGGTTTCTCTTTGCTGCTCCTTTTTCGCTGACTTAGGTTACTACAGCATCTGCGACTGGGCTGAACGACAGTCCTGGAGCACTGCGGAGAGATGTTCAATGAAAGCCAGTGCTCCTTTGCACATCCCAACATACCGAGTACACAAGAAAATCGTGTGGTGCCCTGAGGGACGTAAGAGGGACAGCTTCTCTGAGCCATGACACTTCAAGGGTGGTGGGATGATTATTGCAGACCCGAGACACCGTCCGCTGATGCTACAGGCTGTTTCGATGAGTGCGAGCAGTTGATGGACAAGGCCCTGACCCTGAGCCATGCTGAGGGCTTTGCCTGTTGAGTTGGCGATACAGCTGTTGTACTACCATTCTCAGACGATACGTTTCAGAAAGCCCAATTCGGGGCCCCTACAAAAGGGGTCCCCGGGGAGAAACCCAGAGTTTCCACTAACTCCCGCCGCATTCTTATCCCTGCAGCTATGGAATCTTCCTGCATCACCTCGCGAGGTGGAGGAGGGATTGGAAGCACCTATGGGCAGCTTGGCTCTACAATGCGATTCGTAGGAGCCCCGTTGGGACATTTCATTCAAGTGATTTCCGACGGGGCAGCAAGGGTTTGGGGCGGGTCACGCAATCATGAAAGGATAACTCCGGGATAACCCTAGACCCTGCCCTCGCAGAGCCAAAGCTCCGTGCAAATCCTGCTTGAGTCATGTCTCAGTGGCCACCCTCAAACTTGGAGTTTCCAAAAGCTAGGGATCCCTGTAGTATCATAAGCATTATAGATAGTATTTGGGGGTTATATGGCCCTGTTCTGGAAACCCCACATCTTCCACGCGGGTATCCCTGCAATGCCTGAGTCCAAGCATCAGACACCCAATATTCAATTTGTTCGTGCTCCCTGAACATTCTTAGTCCTATGTTCTTAAGGTACCTTTCCTCTACCTGATAAAGGACTCGTCTTGTGTTCGGCATGATTTCGATCTTGCTCGTGGCAGTTAAATTTGTTCGCAACACACTTGGTGAGGGCCGTGCCTGTCCCGTGGATTTTTAAAGCAGTTCTGAGTGCGATTCACAAGTACTTCAGGTGTCCACAAAGCAGTCTCCTTACAGGTCTGTCACAAATTTAACCATAGCTGACCTCGACAGAGGCTGCCCCCACCAATTAGCCTGACAATCATACACTCGGTAGTCAGTCGTAAGTTGTAAGGCGTTGGTATCAGGCTTTCTTCAAAATAGCGTAACTTTTTGAAAGCCAGCTTCATTAGCAGCGTGCCTGCGGAGGCACCCCAGAGAAGATTACCGCTTTGGCCCGAAGACTCAGCCGTTCTCATATTTGATTCTTTCGGGGCAGGCATGTTGGGATATGTTGGGCTTTTGTGCAGCATGGTGCGGATTGCAGGTGATTTCCCTAAATCATTGCGCGTTTTTGATTTTGTGCCCGTCAAATAACATAAGCATCCGATAGTTTTCAGGGTAATGTGGTATAAGGGGTGGTGTAGGGATGCTTAAGAATTTGCACATTATTGGAGAGTGAGATTTGCGGGCTTAGTGGCATCTAAACATTGCAAGTCCATATGAGTTATAGTCTGAACTCCTAGTATCCCCCTTAACAAGCCCTACAAGACTCCCCTCTGCTAAGGAGTTTAGACTATAGCTCATATGAAAGAAGGCTTTGTCATGCGCATCCGTGCATTTGGAGAGTTTGGAATCCTACCCTTGTCCCGTCTAACGTGGAGCCCAAAGTCGGGGCCCTGAAGACGACGGCATAGAATCTAAAGAATTCCGCTTCTAGTTCTTTGCGTATGGTTGCACATTGTTAGAGCATTAAGGCAACCTCCAGCCGTTCAAGCGTACCGCATCCATTTTTAGTTACTAAGGGCCTGAGCCTGGAAGCGAACTCCCGAAACTAATTCCTGATCTAGGTGTCTGGATTGCCCTCCTCTTCGCAGCCGGCCAACCGCACGCGACCAGCCAGCACATTTTCATGGATTTCCTCCGAATGGGTACTGTGAGAACATTATTCATTGTTGTACCCTAAACCCAAAGCCCTGGGTAGGGGAATGAATGGATGTTTTGGGATCGGAGCACTACGTGGAACATGTTGAAGCCCTGTACGGGATTCTTCGGGGAGTCCGCGAGGAACGCAGGGATCGTAAGCAGGATTCTGGAGAGCCTGAACAAAATGTCATGTATACGCCCACATGGTAGTTTGCCCAAATAGGAGAACCCAATATAGACCCCAAAATACTATTAATCCTACCTGGGATTTTCCTGAGGCTCTCGCCGCACCTCACCCAGCTGCTGGATGAGGTTGCCGGCCACCACGGTGGAATGGCGCTCCGGCAGCCTAGATACAGTTTGGCAGGCAGTGAGCTCCCTCAGCCATGCCCCGTAGCTTTCTTTGCAGTTTGAGGTCCCCATTCACGGCCGCCTCTTCGCACAGTGGATGCACGAGGCATACCCACGTGAGCTCAGGGCTCGGACAAGATAGTTGATGTCTCGTCATGGTTGGCTGCCACGTCACTTTCTGCGTGGCTTGCGTGGAAAGTCATGAGGTGCACCTACCCGAACCTGGAGGTGAAGGTCCAGAGCCGCTTCTTCGATGCAAGGAACAGAAGGAGGGCTTGCGCTTTAGGGCAAACTTTAGGCAACTGGAAGCTTGTGAACTGAAGCCTCGTGACTCCGCTTGAGGCTTTGATCATTCACCAGAGATGGATCACGTGGAGGCAGGCTACATGGATCATGAACCCCGAAAAGCACTTCAGTGCAAACCTGCCCCATACGTCCAGTGAGCCCAAGCTGGAAGCATTGTCTTGGCCAGATCTTGCTTTGGGAAGCCTCCCAGGATGTGGCAGCTATGAAGCCTGTAATTTCAGAAGCTCCGTGGTGGGTCTGGCTTGAGTTCCCTACGATGTGCCTCCTGTTACTAACATTGTTCTACCTTACTCCTCCAAGCCAAAAAGGGTCACTCTTTCATGGTGAAGCCATTTTGGAAGGCCGTGCCTGCTAGGCTGGAGGCTAGGATCTGGGCAACACGCAGCAAGAACACTGAAGAGTTTGAGGGTTTCCTAAAATTAGGTCCCCATAAGAAGGATTGTAGTGTTTTGGGGTATATATTGGGATACCCCAATTAGGGGAAACTACTATTTTTCAAGCACCATTCATCCCACTGTGGTGGCAGGCTGCAGAGAAGTCCAAGTACTGGTGCCTTCCATCGCAGTAGCTTTTGGATTTCTTCTGGGTTGCATATTCCTTGGGGTTGTGCCAAGATTAAGTACGGCTTGAGTCCCTATGCTACAACTCAACTCATCACACATCTCTTATCTTGTGTAAGAGTGCCATATGGTCTCGCGCAGTTTTCTCAGGACATTCCAGGACTAAGATTTGCACACCCTCAACTCCATAACCCACATGCCATTTCCTTGTCCATGAAGGGATGTCACCCCAAACATGGGTTGAATGAGAAATTACCCCAATGCTGAATGAACATAGGGACATTACCCCAATAGTGGATTTGTGTAGGGATATTCGTCCAAGACTGAACTGAACAGGGATGTCACCGCAATAGTGGTTCGAATGAGATTTGACCCCAATGCTGAATTGAATAGGGATCTTGTCCCAATCATGGATTTCACGCTGATACTACCGCGATGTTGAATTTGATAGGGATAATCCCCCAAACGATGGGTAATCAAATGGAAAGGAGATGAAGGCAATATTGGGTTAATAGCACTATCAGGTCCACGCTTAGCGTGAGCTATAGTCTAAACTCCTAGTATGCCCCAGAATCAGCCCTATAGTAGTAGTCCGCTATACGATCCCCTACATAACCCCCTTTAGGGAGTTTAGACTATAGTTCACATCATCTCCATCTCTCCAAGGCAGATTGCCAAGCAGCGAGAGAGCAGCGGCGAGAACCAAACCACTTCCCGCTGGATCATGAAGGAGGTGGCGCACGAAGAAGAGGGCTCCTAATGGTTCCTTGTGACGATTAAAGGGTCTCACTGTGAGGTCTTGAAGGGTTTAGCGTATGAAAGGGTGACAGCTTGAAGTGGGCAGCCGAAAGGGATTGCGGTTTGTAGCAACACTTGCTGAGCTCCGCAGTCGGGTCGCGCCTACGAGACTAGCTGGTCACTCTGTTTCCCTAAAATCGCCTATGATGGGGGGAGAACTGCCATCCCTGATTCCAAGTGCTACTTCAATAAGAGCACTGGAACTTGCTATCCTCTCGAAGCTTTCGTGCCCGGAAGGCATACCGTAGAGACCCTGAGGAAAGATACCAAAATCTCTAGAAACCCCCTCTCTGTAGTCTCTACGCAAACAACCGGCACGATGGCCTCCCCCAACTAACACAGAACCCCATACAGATCGCGTTTGACAGCAGTCTACACCGGGAGCCTTTTCGGATTGTGTTTTGGGGAGTGTGACTAGGCATCGCAAGGTCAGCCCCATGCCCTTATAGAAGAAGTTTCTCCATATTACCGTTACAGGAACGGACCCTAATAGCGACCGCCCCATCCCGTTATGGGTACTTATCTTGATGTTTGGTCTGTGAACCCTTGTCCCAGAAGTTCCGGAACAAAACCGACGACATGGGATGAATGTGTGTAGGGTCCCTAGGGTAGCGAAGCTACCACATGATTCCAGTAACCCGCAACATTTTCCCAGGGCGCACCCCCTGCAATTCCATTTTTGCCGCACTGCTCTGCTCAGTTTGAAGAATCAATAAGAATCAAAAAGATAGCATGCCGGCGGCGGCGGTGCTAAATTTTCATTTTCTGTTCATCATTTCTATTTGCTTCCTCCCCACAGATCCCATTAAAAGGTGTATTTGCAGAGGCTTTTTTCGCAACGTGCGGTAGAACCACAGGCTCAACTTCACAAAGCCAACAGCTCCAACCCTTGCAATTCTAGAGCGCTCTTGCAGGAGCTCGTCGACCAACAGGGTTTCGAGGCTCACGTGAAGTCGAATCCTGGCCATTTTGCGGCGGACTTTGTTTCATGAACGCAGCCCTTCTTGCATGCGATGAAGTGATGGATCCTGAAGCTGATGTTCATGCGTTTCATGAACTCGAAGAGGGATTGCCTCAAAGCGGTAGTGCTAGGTTTTGAAGGCCCCAAGATTGGAAAAGGTGCTCCCAAACTGAACGGGCTGAGGGCAGATGGAGATGGCCATGCCTTTGACAGCTCGGGAGTTCTCCTCGCAGTAAACAAGCCCATCCTATTCTTACATTGATGCGTGCGTCAAGCATTGAAGTCAGAATCATCATGTTATCATGGCTACTAGTTATTCGTAACGCTGTGCACCAGCCTTGATTTTGCTACAGCTTCAAATGTGTGATTCTGCTGAGTACAGGCGCCTTTTTGGAGGGTCCCTATTTGAGCATTACTGGGGTCTGTATATTGGGTCCTGCTGGTTACAGCAACTTCCAGACAAGCTATGCCAACCCCTAACCCCTAAATCCCGACGCCCAAAACCCTAACTCCGTGAATCCCTAAACCTTAAACCGCGTCGTTGCAAATCTGCTGCGTGGCTTTGGCTTTACTTACCGGTGTTTAGGGAAAATGGACTGGATCCCTATGATACTCGATGCAAAATTCCCATATATATACACCCATAATGGTACCTATATTCCCTCCCCCACCATAAGCCCTAAACCCTAAACCCTGCATTCCCTCACTCCCCCTTAAGCACCAGTAAGCCTAAGGAGCACACGGGACGACTTGACGATCTTTGGTACCCTCGGCTGTGCTCTCAGTTTCCTTCAACTTGCACAGTTTAGGGATTTAGGGGGTTTAGGGGGTATAGGGATTTAGGCTATAGATTTGTCAAAACGAGGCCTGTTGACTAGATACGAAATAGAAGGCGGTGGCAGTGGGTCTCTGAATTTATTAGGTGCGCCGTCGCTGCGCATGCACCAAGTTGGACCATCTTAAGGCAATATGAGGATGACTGAGTTTCTCAGAACAGTGGGTTCCTCCTGCCTTGGGCCTTCTTCTTGTTACCAGCTGCGGTATGTGGTTCTTGAAAATGCATTTTTTACAATGTGATCTGCCCCCTGAATCTGCAAGAAGGGGATCCTGGGGGTCAGGAAAAGCCAAGCATTTCTCCTGCAGAAGTCGCGTTTAACCCGCGAAATTCTCATGGAGTCCCTGAACTTAAACGAGGCTTCATCGGCATGGCCGTTGTACGAATCATTGCGCCTGCCTTGAGGCTCCGGGTTATGGTGCAGAATTTAGGGGATCACGGGAGTTTTAGGTTTTATGAAGAGTTAGCTTTGTTTTGGGGTGGTTGATGGGATTAAGATGGCGTAGTTCCGTACTGAGTTGTGCAAAGCGGGAATCCTTGTTGAAGCTTGCTTCTACCTCATGTGCCTCTCGTTGATGATACGGCATGACTTGTTTGGATGGCTCCACCATTACTGGAACTGCTGCTGCAGCGTGCTCTGTTGAGGATACCCTAAGCTCTGCTCAAGCACGAGACATTTGATGAAGCATCCACCTGCTCTATCAGGAATGACAAGCAGAAGGAACTCTGAGAAGAAGGCATTAGTGAGCGGAAAGTAGGGCTGACGCGAAGAAACTCCGGAAGCGTAGACATAGCCATCAAAGACATATTGTGGTTTGCCCAGCGGCATTGGTAAGATTTGACGTGGCCGCTGTGAGCTTCAGGTGAAGTAATTACCCCTTAATGTAGACCCATGATTAATACACCCCCTCCTTTTAAGGGCCTAAATATTAGGATCCCTATTATAATCCCTATGAGGGGAGGGGGTTTATTAATCAGGGGTATGGGTTAAGTAGCAGTGGCATTGCACAAGAAAGCCAAGCATCGAGGTAGTCACCAGGGGCGGTATACCCGGCATATTGGGCCAAGTTGGTTCTTCTACAGCCGTCATTTATCTTGATGCTTATTGTCGCTTATGTTCTAGCTTTATGTGTATTTCCATTTATTTTGGGAGATTGTAAAGTGTGCTAAGAGTACGGATTCTCTTCTGCAGGCGTGTAGGGGGGAAACCCTCTATTCATTTGATTCACGAATATTGGGCTATACATCCCGATATAACCAATACTTTCGATGATTGGGCAACATGTCCGTGTATAATTGTAATATGGCACTATAGGACCCAACATACAAACACCCTAAACCCTAAACCCTAAACCCTACAAACAGAGTAGCAACAAGTGCGCAGCTTCAGCCCGGCAAGCAATGGTGCTTGCACCGGTCTCACTGCAGTCATACGGTGCAGACATGCGGACAAAGCCTCCCCTGTTTTATTTTTTGTCTTACTAGGGAAGAAGGGAATATAACACCTATAGAAGCTCTCTTTAATGTGTTCCGTGATTCCCTACTAAGAACCAGTAAGTTACATTTTCTAAGCGTTGATTCCGTGGCTCCACCTGTGCTTTCTGGGTTCCAGTTTCAGGGCCCTGGGGGTTGCGGTTAGAGGCGTTAATCGTGGAATTACATGGCTCATGTATGTGTTATGTTGGAGTCATCATGATGTGTTTTGGGACTGCTTACGGCATATACGCGTATCATCTAGCGGTTCCAGGTATGTACCGAAAACTTGGATTCGTAAGGGTCCTGAAGGTCCAGGCGTTTGAGCCTAATTCGTTAGAATCACACTCAGTGGTGTAGACCAGCCCTGAACTCACAACTTCAAGGTTCAACGCCATAGATTCAGCAAGCTAAACCCAAGAAATCTAGTGCTGCCCTGACCCCTGCAGCATACCCTTCCGTCGAGGAGTAGGCATTGGGTGGGGGACAGCATTCAGGCGAGGCCTCGAACCGGCCCAGCCTTCCAACAGAGTTCGAGCATTGTTCTGACCATGGATACGATAGTCCCTGGTAGGTGTCAGCTTCTACTCCTGTTTACTATATTTTTGGAAGAATCTAATATTAATTGACTTAGTTCCGCCATCAATAACGTTTGTCACGCCAAAGACGCGTCAGGCCACACAAGCCTTACTAAGAAGCTTCTTGACGTCGACCATGCGGTTAGCAGCTAGGTGCGCATCAAAATATGATTAATGTTTCCGAGGAAGAAGGCCGTGATTGTTTTCAGGTCATGTTGGGAAATGCTAGCAGAAGTAGACTTGAGTTTACCCCAAACCCCTAAACCCTTCATGATGCTTCCAGGAATTCCTGTGAATTTTTGAGGCCTGTGGAGCAGGTGGCCTGGCGGACCCGAATGCAGCAACCTCGGTGCTTGGTTCCAAGATCACATGAGGGTTTCATCTGGGGCTATATAGGGGTATATCATAGTAATTTATACTGCTGCTAATGTACTATAATGTACCCCTACGTGACCCGTATATAACCCATGATAGTAGTTTCCATTTCTTTTCCATTATCCTTCTATAACCCCTACATTATGCCCCCTTCTGAAATGGTTCAGAAGGACTATTGTTTCCATAAAACAGGTGTCCCAGCCTGGGGGCCTCATACAAAGGACTCTTAATGGAAACTTCTGTAATGGGTTACATAAAGTTATATAGGTTTAGGGTTATCTTGGGGCGCCTCATTTTTGGAAATTTTTACATATACACATGGCGGGATGAACGCCGTGCGCAGGTCTGGAACAGTTACATAGCCAGAGAATGAGAATGTGGGAGGGTTTGGGGGTGTCCAAACATTATGGAATTAGGGACTCCTTTTTCAGAGTCGAGTGCCTAGGATAAGGATTATTGAGTTGGTTGCTTAAGGTAGAACGGTCCATGTTGAGGCCCACTGCTTATGACTGGTTATGGAGACCACCATGTGTGAACGTTTTACCCCCTCATGTGGTCATGTTTGAACTGAATCATCTTGATCCCTAAGCCCTAAGCCCTAAACCCTATATCCTAAACAATAACCTAAACCTCTAAACCCTAAACCCTAAATCCAAAACCCCTCAAACCTAAATCCTAACCCTAAATCCTAAACACTAAACCCCCCAAGCAACCGACAAGGTGCTTGCCGGCCTTGGCAAGTCCAACGAAGACGCTTGCGTTTACAAGGCCCAGCCAGATTCCTTAGGTCAGGCCACCTCCCACTAATTGTGGTAAATATAGGGACCCTAATATAATCACCATTATGGGATTACTATCTTTAGGGTTTAGGGTTCAGGGTGCCACTACTCAGACCCCGTAAAAGATCCAAAAACTGGAACCCCCCAATGTGAACCCATTACTACATTGGGGAACCTAGGGGATTATTAAGGGGTTCCATTTTTTGGATCCTTTAGGGGGTCTGGGCTAGTAGTGATATACCAGGAATATATAGAGGGCTGAACATAACTACCATCATCTGTTTTGTGGCCACTATTAGGGGGTGGAGGCCCCAACCTGACAGATTCCATCACAGGGGAGGGACCCTGATACACCACGATTTTTGATCATTCCGAACATGGGCCCCTCATTTCCATGTATGCCCCTGGGGTGTATGCCGACAATACGCCTCAACTGGGGATTTTTTTGCAGTTCATGGCAAGCCTTACATGCACCGTAGCCTAAACTCCTTAAAAGGGGGTTCTATAGGGATTATATAGGTGAGTATTATAAGGCTTATCAAGGGATACTAGGAGTTCAGACTATAGCTCACATGCATCTAGCATATGCTGCGCAAAGTTTGAGGTGAGTGATGACATTGCAATTGTTGGCACCCTGGACTTCTTCACGCCCATTGTGGATGAACCCGAGGCGCTCTGTTTTGCTTAATGTGTCGTGCAAAAAACAATACCTGAAAGAGGTGTAGTGTTGCAGTTGCGGACACGAGAGTTCGTATGCCTGAGCATAAAGAAGCACATGAAGTACAGGCCAACGAAGAACAAGGGTTTGTGAAAAACATGCCCACTTCGTAACTTCCTGGAAAATTGGCAATGTATTGCCCGCTGGTGATGGCACTTAACTTGCTACCAGGTGTTTGGCGGAATTGCCGCCGCGAACGCCTTGTCAGATGTGTGCCCCTGCTCCATTTTGGGGCGGAACGCGAATGACTTACCGAGGTTAGTAGAGAATCAGGGGGAATATCAAAAGGAATCATTTATCAGGTAGGGATTATATTCCCGTATTCCCTACTAGCCAACAGTAAGATGAGGCCAACAGCCAAGAGCTGCTGTTCAAGCTTGCAACTTCCTAGACCCTCCATCTACCCTCTATATGCCCTAAATTCGAACTATTAGGGACCATATACCCATATTTAAGGGTACAAGGAGGGTCCTGGTTTTCAAGGGTCAACCAGTGCTATGGGCTTGCGGGGAGGTACGCGATGGGCGCCAAGCCAATCTTTGCGTTGAACATCGTCAGCTGCCCAACTTCCTTTGCTCAAGGGTGGAGAGGTCTCTGTTCAAGCCCCATCTGTACTCCGCAAACGGGTACCCGAGTTCAGCTACCCTGTCAACATCACATACTTCAACTGTCAAAGTGAGCTGAAAGACCACCAGCTGCTTCTCCGTACCTTCTGTGAACCATGCCCTCAGACGAGCGCACATGCTCCCATGTTGTCACAGGTCTGCAATGAATCCTGTAGGATTATCCTGAATTTGTAATTCTAAGGATTCTAAGTCAACTTAGCCAAGCTGCTTTTTCCTCTAGGTCTCGGGGTTAATCCAGAGTCAGTGTCGATCATTGCAGCGGAGCTCAATTATCTCAAATTGAATCCCGCAACCTCGAGCCTGGCGAGCTCCGCAACGGTACTGCAAAAACCAAAATAATCACCGACATTATTATCCTAGATTCCTTGTTAGAAGAGTAAATAATTACCAACATTAATTGCTTATCACCCTAGGTGCTTGTATAAAGAGTTACGGTATAGGATACCTCAAATAGACCTGAAAATGATGTTGCACCGGGCATGACGATGTTCATGTTCCAGGTCGGCTTTCCTTCGAATCGCCTTCCTCCATCTGTGTTGGCGAGGCCGCTGTAACGGCCCCCTATCACTCCCCCCGTTGCCTCTTATTGTCACCGTTGCCTTTACAACGGGAAATGGAACGTGACATGAAAACGGGGGTTATATGGGGGTGGCACAAGTGGCGGCGTGGGCGGGTACTGATCATTCTCGCATATTCGGGAATGTTCCTTTTGCTCGTGGTACATGGTGCCAGTATCCCGCAAGGAGAATTCTGAATGAGACCTCTATCGTACCCAGTAGGCCGCCACAGCCGCATCCTCCTTTTGCGCGCATGCCTCCAGATTGCAATGTGCTATAATATACCATCATATACCAAATACATTATAACATACGATAATATATTATAATATGCTATAAAAGACATCACGAAAAATAATTGATTGAGCTGTAGAACCTGAAGCGTGAATCGGGGCATTGCATGCCAAAGCGTGGTCCTCATGGCAGGATCCTGAAAGGAGGCCTGGGGGCTGAACTGTGTGCATATTCAATGAGCCTAACTTAACTCAGTACCATTCTGAGAGAGCAACTTGACATCAGACTTGAATGAGTTTAGAGAATCATATGCCTATGCAACAGTGTGCTGCGCTCTTCACACTCAGGTTTGGCGTGTGGTGCATTCGTTCGTCCAATTCTGAACATCCT